AATAACAGTAGCTGTACGTCCTGAGAGCAGTGAGATGTGGCAATTTACATTTTTAAGAGGACTGTCAAGTCAAGCTTCCTCATATTCTCTTTGATCCCACACAGCTCATCTAACTCGAACTAAAAAAGTGTGCAGTGTAGATGAGGCATGAGCATCAGTCGTTACCGTAACAGACGGCACAGCTCTTGACCCTCCACAGGTCAGCAGCTGGCTCCTCCTCCAGCACCGTGAAGATGGAGTTTCCTGTGTCGTCAGCCTGAGAGGAGACAGCAGCTACCGTTACCGACTGCTTCACTCATTCATGACAAACAGAATCCCTCAACGGCTGAGGGAAGACGACGAGCAGCTTAAAGAAAATGATGTTTAATTGAACTTTCCCTCTTCAGTCCATCCTTCTCGTATGTGCTTTATAACCGACAGCCATGAGAGAAGGTTTCAGGCACCACAGCTGTTTCTTCCTGTCCTACACTAACTTCTGGATACACACTGTAAACGTAACTGGAGCCACACAGGGAAACTAAGTACACAATGAGCTGGAACAACTTCATGTGTTTGCAGCCAAACAGGCTGGAAAAGGCCCTCACATCATCTGCTGAGAAGGTCCCAGATGTATTGGCTCAAGTGAGAGCAAAGAGTTTAAAAAGGGGATGATGAAACTGTGGAAGCCTCCTGAAGTCATCACACTGTAAGGTCTAAAAAGGAAACGTGGACACCCTAACCGTAGCATTAAGAGCCAAATGTTTTTTAATCCAAGGCAAACACTCCGATAATCTCAGGGCGTCGTTGCTGTAACAGGGCTTACTGATTTATGAAGTTCCATCTTCATCCAAACCAGATATTACGATATCGACTCCACACTCCTGTATGCTCACATTGAGAGGCATGGTAGGTTTTGTGGACAGATAGGGCGGCTCGCTGCATTATTGCATCACTTCCTGCTCCTGGTGCACCACATCAGTGGTGCTTGTTCAGTTGTCTGAAGAGCAGCAACATCAGCAGTAACTGTCTGAGAAGCTGGCTCTTTTCTGCTCACTTTGTCAGTTGTCCAATTGTTGCTTTGCCTCCTTTAGCACCTGGTCGCCTGGTTGTAGCTCTGGAGGCCTGGCTCCCCACAGAGCAGCCAGGCCCACAGAGCCAGCCAGGCCCTGTGGTGCTCTGCAAAGGGACAGTTGGCCTGGTTGACTGTGTCCAAAGTGGGAAATCAGGCCAGTTTGGTGACTACGAGGAGGAAGTGTAGCCTCAAACAGAAACCTTCAGTACATGAACCCAACACGTTGATTCTGTTCAGTCGGCTGAGACTGAAGAAGTCACTTGGATGAGTGACGAAACGTTTCCCCCACTGAAGACACGACGTTCAAATAAACGGATCTAACTTTGCCAAAACGATGTGGGCGTTATAGATAAGCGGGACAATTTCTGGACGAAACGTTGTCCTGTTAGGAGAGATAACATCCATCCCAGGCTGGAAAGAGCAGCTGTCACGGCCTGGACGATCACCAGTTTCTCTCTCTCTCATTGCGGGTTCACGCCCTCAGCCACGCACCTCGGAGGAAGAAACACCTGAGCCTCGTTAGTGCTGCCAGCATCTTTGCTGGATCGTTGTGTGTGACTCGCGTTGGTGAAGCCAGGCCTCAGAAAGTTTTCTCTCGTGTCTCTTTTGTATGAACGTACGTTTCCCAATGTACAGACTCCCTGGACTGTTTCCCGTGTGGTGAGTGTCGGAGAGAGAGGAATGAGTACTTTCCCCCTGGATTTCCCTGGAGCCCTGACCCCTCACCTTTTAATATAAATAAATTCTCTTGTGTACATCTGACCTCAGAGTCCTGCGTGTGAGTCCTCCACCTCAATCGTAACAGCAGCTCCCATTTCATTTATTAACCTTTTCATCTACGCTAGTCCATGCTGGTATCAACATACTGATTCATCCTGACCCACTGAGTCACAGCCAGACTCCTCAA